TCTTCTTCTTCTTCTTCTTCTTCTTCTTCTTCTTCTTCTTCTTCTTCTTCTTCTTCTTCTTCTTCTCCTCCTCCACCTCCTCCTCCTTCTCCTCCTTCCCCTCCTCCTCCTTCTTCTTCTTCTTCTTCTTCTTCTTCTTCTTCTTCTTCTTCTTCTTCTTCTTCTTCTTCTTCTTCAAGTCTTCTTCTCTCCTCTTCTTCTTCCCCTCCTTCCCTACTCCCTCCCTGCCTTTCTCCATCCTCCCATCCATCCCTCCCTCCCTCCATCCCATCTCGCCATCCTCCATCCTCCATCATCCATCCATCCATCTTTTTCTTCTTCTTCTTCTTCTTCTTCTTCTTCTTCTTCTTCTTCTCCATTTGCTAGGTCTTCTTCTCTCCTCTTCTTCTTCCCCTCCTTCCCTACTCCCTCCCTGCCTTTCTCCATCCTCCCATCCATCCATCCCTCCCTCCATACCATCTCGCCATCCTCCATCCTCGATCCTCCATTTTCCATCCATCCATCCATCCCTCCTTCCCGCCCTCCATACCATCTCGCCATTCTCCATCCTCCATCCTCCATCATCCCTCCCTCCCTCCCTCCACCCCATCTTGCCATCCTCCATCATCACATCTCGCCATCCCTCCCTCCCATCTCAAAGATGTGTCCATCATCCCATCTCGCCATCCCTCCCTCCCATCTCAAAGATGTGTCCATCATCCCATCTCGCCATCCCTCCCTCCCATCTCAGAGATGTGTTCGAATGTGGATCGATATTGGCCATTTCTCCTTCTCGTCTTCCTCTTCTTCTCCTTTTTCTCCTTCTTCTTCTCCTTCTTCTTCTAGTTCGTCGACATTCGGTAGGTCACGTGATACACGACAATGACGACAGGTTAAAAAAAAAAAAAAACGAAGGTCGTCCTCCCCCCCCTCCTCCGCTCATCTTCTTCATCTTCTCCTCCTCTCCTCGTCGTCCTCTCGTCTTCTTCTTCTTCTTTTCTTCTTCTTCTTCTTCTTCTTCTTCTTCTTCTTCTTCTTCTTCTTCTTCTTCTTCTTCTTCTTCTTCTTCTTCTGCTGCTGCTGCTGCTGCTGCTGCTGCTGCTGCTGCTGCTGCTGCTGCTGCTGCTGCTGCTCCATTCACTAGGTCTTCTTCTCTCCTCTTCTTCTTCCCCTCCTTCCCTACTCCCTCCCTGCGTTTCTCCATCCTCCCATCCTCCCATCCATCCCTCCCTCCCTCCATCCCATCTCGCCATCCTCCATCCTCCATCATCCATCCATCCCTCCATCCCTCCATCCCAAAGTTGACTTGCGTTTAACTAATTTGAGCTTATCTCGCCATTCTCCATCCTCCATCATCCATCCCTCCCTCCTTCCATCCCATATCGCCATCCTCCATCATCCCATCTCGCCATCCCTCCCTCCCATCTCAGAGATGTGTTCGAATGTGGATCGATATTGGCCATATGCAGCTGATATGCTGCTGAAGATCTCGTAGATTTTCTGCAAGTTGTCAGTCTGCAAGTCTTCTTCTTCTTCTTCTTCTTCTCGTCGGTCTTCTTCTTCTTGTTCTTCGCGTCAGTCGTCTTCATTTTTTGTCAGTCTTGTTCTTCTTCAGAATGAACGGGTCGATAACATGCATGCAGCAGACATCTTAGCAGCAGGCAACAAACATGCAGAGCCGCCAACCCAGTACATATCAGATGACATACATTCAGCATACAGTAGGCAACATACATGCAGAGCCCCCAACCCCCAGACACCCCCCCCACCCAGACCAATCTCCCTCCCCACCCCCCAAAACCAAAATTTTATTGCGGATTCGGGGTCCTCTCGCAGAGCGCAGAACGACCCTGTTTTCAAAAAAAAAAAAATTTATAAATTCTGGGCGGTTTTTTGGCCCGCCCAGTTTACCCGGGCGCCCCGGGCCCAACCGGCCGGGCGGCGTCCTCACCCAGGTGTAATCTCAAGAAAAAAAAAAAGAAAAAAAAGCATGCCATTGCCTTGTTTATTTTGATAGAAAGAAGTATTGAAGTGCAAAAAATGTGACTCCTACACCTCTTGCACTTCCACGTTGTGGTATTAATTAGAGGCATTCTGATATTGAGACTGCATGATTTGTTCCGCTCTTGGGTAATCTCCGATTATCCTACTTTCCCAGACATGTGTCTTCAACTTCTTGGTCGCAAAAAAATATCCCTTGTCGTCATTCTGACAGCAGTACACATCTTCCCTTTTTTTTGTGTTCATTTGCCCCATTCCCTCCCAATGTGGCGGGGTGCTGGCAGGCCATGAGGCAACTGGAGTTCGAAGTGCAGGGCTTACAGCGATCGCTGGAGGAACAGCGGAAAAGACACTTCGACACCCTCCACAAGTAAGTGTCTTTTTCCGTTAAACATGTTAGAGCATATTTTTAACAAAGATGTCAGGAGTATCTATCACATTGACGAAACCTCAAAGATGGTCCCATAGTCCCAAAGATGGAACCAAAACCACAAAGATGGTCCCTTAGTCTCAAAGATGGTAGCAGAACCACAAACATGGGCACGTACAGAGTCTTAGGTGTTTCCCAGATAGATTGAAATGCACATGGCCATCATTGAGCATTCTACTAGATGATCACCTCCTTAATGCATTACCCACTCAGGTAAGAGGGCATGGTTTACAAGGTCATTTGTTGGGTCCACTGTTTTCAGTTTGTAACTGCCTAGGGACTGATTGCTATGCTACCTAAAACTGGTAAATGAAAAACACTCTTATGAAATTACGTTACTTGGCAATAGAAGAACTGATGCTCTCAAGTCCTGTTGTGTTTAGCACAAGGGCTAATGTTACATCTTCGACGCCACACGGGTCCTACCGGACCCGACGTAGGGTAGAGGGACACAGTAGGGCCAAAGGCCCGACCTTTGGGGGTACTACMGGCCGTAAAGGCCTTACCTTGGACCAGACCCGACGGGCCGGCCCAAACGATATTACCGTTTGGGCCTGGCGGCGCTCTTGAGGCTGCCGCCCACCGGTTGGGGCTGAACCGTCCATCTGGACGGTTCAGGGCACGGTCAGGCCTCGCAGCATAGAGGCCGACCTCTGCCCACCGGTCAAAAGTACCGGTCCAGCCTCAGTGAGGCTATCGACCCACCGGCAGTCTATGCGGTGCGGTAAGGTCAGCGCCAGAGCGCTGTTTGAGCGCTAATCTTAGCGCAGGAGCGAGGAGCAGGCAGCATCAGCGCAGCATTAGCGCAGCAGCAGCGAGCGGAGCAGCAGCGGGGCGACTGAGCCAGATCGGCGGCCATCGCCGCCTGAGGTATCAGG